AAACCCTGAGGTAAGAATAACTACCCCACAGCTGCTTTAAGTGAGAGATTCGCCTGTTGCTGTCTCGAAAACGCCACCGGTTACTGCCCGGACGCGACAACGCCAGTGGTTCTGACGAGTAAAGATTTGACACGAAAGCGATCGCGCATAAGCTAGACAGATTAATTTAATAGACAAGTTCTGGTGACCCCGACGTGATTTGTGCACTTAAACTGCAAGCAAGGGTGGAAAACCTCGCCATTAACTTCTCATTTACGATCTAATGCAAATGTTTATAACGTACTTCTACAAGTTATGAATTTCAGTTGCTTCTCCAGGCCCTGCTTTCAAAAGTATGAAATTTACTACTCAGCCAATTGGCCTAAACAGCTAAAAATCACAAAAGGTCGGAGGGGCAATAGCTACAGTACTCACCTTCCGCTGTGCACGCTGACGTTTTAGATCATCTTTCATGAAGACTGCAAGAGCATAAAAGTGGAATGGTTAGGCGTTTGAAAAAGGTAATCTTGTTAACAAAAATCGGGGCACAGTTCAGAGAAACGCGACATTACAAGGGCACCTGGTGAATGATAATTAGAATTAGGCAAATTCCAATTACACAGTAATAGACAATGCTTTTAAATAGTATTATGACCTTTCCAAACATATCGAGATGTAGGTAAGTGGTTTTTCTGAGAACGAATGCATTTTTCTGTAAAAAGCGGAAGCCACCTGGAAGTCCTTGAATGTAACACGCAGCAGTTGACGATAAAAATACGTACTGGTTCACTATCTACCAAAAATTTGTGCGTTGTCTCACAGAATGTTAACCAATATTCTGAAATATGTTTCCGACTGGAAAAGATTACTTAAGTAGTGTTATAGTACTACCTACCGTGGAACATAATCTAAAGTCATGTCAGTCCCCTCACAATGTCCACTGTTGGACGAGCTTCTTACCAGCGTCTTTATAAACTACACTTCATAAAAATGACCGGTTAGGGAAACAGATTTTAATCAATGGTTCTCGATGTCCTAATCAATTAAAATATACTGTGCCAAAGACTTCTACAGAAAGTACTCGTCCTCCTATTCATTTGGCAGAATATTATATCTTCTGTACATTTTATACCTCAATAAAGTTTGACATCTGGTTTTTAAAAAGTTTCTTGCTATGAGACTTTCTGAGGCCGTAAAATGTCCGTTCATAAAATACTGTATCGCCACATTTACTGAAGCTGATTATAAAGTATACAGTGTGATTCAAAGTCCCTAGAAAAATTTATGAACCGCATATAGCATCTTCTTAATTACCTATAAAAATGCCTGATTTTTCTTTTACGGAAAGTACACACTTTGTATTTTGGCAAACCTGGATGTAAGCGTAACCGCAGGTCGAGTCGCACATCATTCAGGAACGGGAATAAAACTTAAACACCAAACATACTCTTCCTTTAAGTATAGAATATAAAGAAGACCTAATTTCCCTCCAAACTAGCCAAGGAACGAATATTTTGTGCAAGACTTTTATAAAATATGCTTAATTATATAAAGACATAGAAAATCAATGAGAAAAATTCATGGCACAGAGTTTTTGCAGACGCGCGGAAAGAAGCTCGTCTAAAAGTTGACATCGAAGCTTTTAATTGGTCGTTCAAGAACGCTGCATTGGCGGCTCCCTTGAAACGCACCAATGAGCTCGGGGAATACTACCACAGTCGTCTTCTCTGGTCTCCATGTGCCATCTGTTACTACACAAAGCTGTGCTCTGCCCAGGGGTTATGGCCGACTGACATCTCCCACACGCAGGGGCTAAACGGTATTCAGCGTGTGTGTTTCTGCACCCAAAACGAAAACGCAACTTCCCCTGGAGAGAACGATATGTTAGCCTGTGGGCGGTTCAGGTTGATTGGGATCGACTTTCCAACATACCATTATGGTTGACCGTTCGTCGATCAGCCTCTTTTGTGTCCTTAAAAAATCTTGTCAGTCATGCTATGTCCACTGTCGAAACAGCATACGAAAAGTGCCCACCGCCCTTCCCCTCCCCACAGACTGAACCTGGATAACCTGATAACTTAGAATGTTCAGTCACTTTCATATGCTCAGAGAGGACAGCCCTACTCACTTGGCAGCTGTTTGATGTAACTGACATGCCCCCTTCTCTTGCCTATTAAAATCTCTCATTTGCGGGAGCTTGATTGATGCATTCAGCCTTAGTCATAATCACTGCGTCTTGCTTCCGTATTAGAGTCTGCCCTTAATTTCCTAAGTCAGTAAAAGTAAAATACTTGACTGTCAGACCGTATTTGGATAAAGAGTACTGATCAGTCGGGGTTACCCCACCTTACGGGTTATTGTCCCGTCTCCCCACGCGGGAGGCGTTATTTTGGCTGCGTACCCATAATTAATGTTCCAGCTAGGAGTTTGGTGGCACGTCTGGGCGCATGCTCATTCCGCGCCAGACATGACATGATAACATGACTCAGTCCTCTCAAGATGACGAGTCACACCGAAGTGGCTCCTTGGTGTAGCCCTTATTACACTCCACATCAGACAGGACCGTATTTGTCCCTTTCGTTTCCGTCAAAACCTGGACGGTTGCGCGTGTGTGGCAAGCGTGGGCGGACCGTTTAGCTTTGCCCGGTCCCACATTCGATCTTTCTATCTAAGTCTCATTTCTGGGTCCAAGTGAGGTGAGAGCGAGGTAGATGCTGCGCACGTCGTGACTTGGAATGGTGCCAACTGACGTAATAACTCGGTCCTCTCAGGATGACGAGTCAGACTGAAATTGCTCCTTAGTGTGGCCCTTATTACACTCCACATCAGACGGGGCCCAAGTTGTCCCTTTAGTTTCCGTGAAAACCTGGACGGTCATGCTCGGAGCAGGCGTGTGTGGCACGCGCGGCCCCAGTCATTCTATCTAAGTCTTATTTGCGGGACCAAGTAATTGAGGTGTGAGTGACGTAGATGCTGCGCAAGTCTACCATAATTACAAACCAATCGGTGCGAAAATCGCCATCACTGACGGTCGAATTGTCCTGTCACCTCATCGCGTAAATCATAAGGTATCAGCACTGAACTCTAAGAACCATGCTCAGAGACCTCCAAAAAGATGAGTAATTTGGCGTCTTGAATTCGAACAATAGATCTTGGAGTTAAATCTACAGAGCAGGACGCTTTTAATGCAAACTCTCAAGGTGAATACTGCCTGCTTCGGCCAACTACCAGTCTTATGTTCATTAAGGTAGTTCGCAAACTGAGGGCCAAATCATCAGCCGAAACCCGTGTGTGAGGGATCTGGCTCACCTATGGATGCCCGATGTCCCATATGACTTCTCCTATGTACTCCAGCCTTCAAAAGTAAAACTGCAATCATGCGAGAACTTATTGAAAGAAATTCAAGCAGTTTTGGGGTTCGATTGGCGTGTGCGTTTTGTGGTACGAGTCCCACATGCATTTAAGCATGCAATTACTAATCCGAAATGCGCGCTTGGCCGTCTATGACCCGCCATGTGAGGGGAGCATTTATGTCGGCAAAGATCAGATGAAAGACACCAAACGCACGATCATACAAAGGCGCCTGTTCTATATGAAAGGTGGTAATATAGTTTTTACGGCCGGGGCATATGTATGCATAGAGCAATGGCAAAGTAAGTATAGATAATTGGTAACTTCGTTTTTCGGGCGGATATGTTTTCATGCGTTGACGTATAGCAACCGAAAGTAAACATAACGTGTTCCCAGCAATCGCTTCTCAGCTCTCTGAGCTAAAATGATTGTAGATAGTGCACCAGACCGTCTAGAACAGAGAACACAACCTTGTACGGTGAAACACCAAACCGAAATAATCGTTTCGGACTAAAACTCCCTTAAACAAGTTAGGTTGGTATTCTTTATACGCCACAGATGCTTGGGTCCTTCACCTGATCCTTACCCTTATGTCCCCAAGAAAGGCCTAGCAGTAGGTGCGTTGGATGAGCACGGAGACCACATGGGATTCTGCAGGTTTCACTAGAAAGGCGCACACAATGAATTCCAATGTTCGGGACGTGGGAGGAGGCTCAGTTGCCGACTCATGATATCCCGACCTATCAACTTTCTTATTGTTAGCCAAATTTCTGGCTAGGTGTAAGCGAGTTTGTGTGACGGTAGGTCTAGGTGTGGGTCCGACCGTGTCAGTTACCTGTGCCCTCCCTCCCCCCCTCTCCGGTCTTCTTGACTATGGCTTGACAATGGGCTCGGGGGGGGGAAGGAGGGGAGAATAATGGGTACTGCAAAAATCTGTTATCATTAAAAAAAACCACGCGCAAGTCACCGTGCCTGCGGTCACCCTGCTGTGGAGCAATAATGCCAACTGTGGTTGCATTAGCAAATCGAAGAAAGACGCGGCCGCGACTGCGCGGGTATGCATTAGTGAGACGATTGGTGATTGTGTCATTATCGTTCTGATCGCGCACATCTCCACTCACTCAGCAGCATATCAAGTCTTCTTCAGACGTAAAGCGCACAAAACGCCATATTGAACTACCACCCGAATACCAGTTATTGCGTTACTACTTTTACGGATAAGGGAGATAATAGCGAAGGTATGCTAACAAAGGCCGGCCAGAAGAGGCCTACGAAAGTCCCAGAGACGTTCACTCGAATGGCATTGTCCTAACCTGATCCGAACACCATTATGGTGCTGACCGCACACGAATTCAGGACATCCCCACTCTCTCAGCAGAAGGTGACATTCAGGACAATAGATAATAAAATGCAATCGATCCAGTGGGTTGTATCTGTCCACCTCTCGGTATGTCCCCTTGACAATCGCTGCATTTCTGGGGCATGTCAGCCACTGGTCAAATAGTTTGAAAAAATCGCTTCTTGGAAGTTTCATCCAGTAGTTGAAAGTACTTCAGAAGCATAAAGTACGGTAAATTATTGCGCAATGCTATACTACTGGCTGCCTGTTGGTGGTTTGTGAATATTAAGCGGTTATTCCGCAGTAGCTGATGGATTTCAGCTCAAATATTCATATCAAATTTCGGACCGTGCCTGAAACGGCCTGTTTCGAAAGAGTTACTCCAAGTTCGCGCATTAATTTCCTCGGAAATTAAGCAAGGCAAATAAAGAACCTCATAAAAATTCGTAAAGACATGGACACCGACGCCAAAGCTAAAAGCTTTTCAAGCTCTGTTGATCATTAGCTACCTGCCCGGGAACAACCGTTTTTTGGAAGCAAAATACAAGTGCCGAAAACAGGGAATTTCGTTTTTATGAAATCTTCTGTCACAACGATCGAGCTGTAGAGTGGACAAGGAGTAACACAACGACTTACACGATGGTATCGCGGCCACGACCATAGTGGCGAGCATGAAGAGGTTAGCCGCAAGTCCGTCGTATTTATCAATGAGGACTGTCGACACCATTGTGAGGAATATGCCGATAATCTGGATGGAAGAGGAGGTAATGTCATCCAGGAGTCAGGACTCACGAAATAGGAAAAAAAACCTTTAAGCACTACGGGAGCTCTGCAAAATGGACAGTCAAGAAAAGCACGTGTTTCTCGTCGAACTGCCTTCGTCCAGTTTTTGTCCTGGTCAGGCCGCGCGCATTTAGTGCGGACAGCGTCATTAGGCAGCCGTTCTGCGTTATATTTATGTGCGCAATTTTGTTGCGTAGTTGATCTATCGGTCGCTGTGCGGGCACTTGTCTCGGTGAGACAACTGCTACCCTTTTTAGAGATAGAACAAATAAGGTAGTGGGAGAGCGAGAACACTTGACAAGAAAGTCGCAAATTTTGAACCCAGTTCAAAACACTTCAGCAGATTTGATGCGTAATTTGTCAGTCAGACGACGTGGGGAAAAGGATGCATTTGACATGTTCCAGTGTCGGAGAGGTCAAGCCATGAGGCTTTGTAGGCGCATCTGGGTTCATTCCCAGTAGCGAGTTGCGAACGCAAGCACTCTATGTACCAGAACGTGCCTGCCATGCTACGGACACGGAAAGTAACAGCCGATCTCAGTCCGATTAAAGTGCAAATCATAAAAGAGGATTAGAAAGGGATTCAAAATCGGCCGCGTGGGGGCGGGGGAGAGGTCGACTAGACGTGGTCAAAGCAGGTTACAACAAGGGGGCGTGTATTTTCGAAAGTCAGCAATTTCCGTAAAAGCAGCTGAAACCGCGCCAGAATGATGCAACTTCCTCTCAAAACTCGACAAACCAGATCACCTCACTCCGGCGAAAAGTAGCACCGAAAGGGGGTTTAGGCTATCACCTGATTAGATGGTGAACTTGCATAGAAGTGTCTAGATGCACTGTTAGATAACGGAAAAATAATCTACCGTGCGTGTCCGATCTCATGAAATGTTGGCCAAAATTCTGGAATGCGTTTCCGATTACGAAGGATTACTTAAGTGGGGTTGTTATATGGATTACAATGCAGAATAACCCTACATTTCGGACTTATCAGGATGTCGGCTTTTTAATGCACATCTTTTTGACCTCATGCAGAAACCACACTCGGTAAAAAATGGCTACTTAAGTAGCATTCATTTTCCTATTATTTTTCGACGGTCATATAAATTCAAATATATTTTACAGAAACAACGCACAAAATATGCTTTCTTTTGCTCCTTTGGTAGGGAATCACATTGTTTTCATATTTTATGCCTGCAGAAAGTGTATATTTGGGTTTCAAAAAGATTCCCAGTTCCGGAATAATTTTCAGCCTGATCTGCCATTGTGTCCGCGTTTAACAATTTCTTTGTACATTGTGCATGTTTTTCGCGTAAGAAAAATGATATATTCCTATATTCCTTTAAGAAGATAATACATTAAATTCATGAAATTTTGCAATGTATCCGGACTGTATTGTACATTTCATGAGGAGCATTGGTAAACGTACATGTGCGGTCTTGTATGCATGATATTGGACGGTCTTCAAAATCTCATAATTAGAAACTTTTTAAACTTAAATATTCATTTTCTTATGGAATAAAATATGAAAACAATGTGATTCCCTACGAAAGAAGGAAAAGAATGCCTTTTTTGTGTATGCTTTCCGTAAAATATATTTGAATTTATACGATCATCGAAAAATAATAGGAAACAGTAATGCTACTTAAGTAGTCATTTTTACCGAGTGTGGTTTCTGCAAGAGGTCAAAAGAAGTGCATTCAAAAGCCGACATCATGGCAAGTGCGAAATGTAGGGTTATTCTGCATTGTAATCAATATAACAACCCCACTTAAGTAATCCTTCGTAATCGGAAACGCATTCCAGAATTTTGGCCAACATTTCATGAGATCAGTCACGCACTGTAGGTTGACATCGATTTGTACATCACGGTTGTTAAGAGGGGTTACATGGCGTACGAGTTTCAATGGCCTCTTTATGAGAACGTTTTTTGGCCTCCATAAATGTGAACTACGGTGATTCAAAGGTGAGTTTGTCGCAACGAAGACAGTGCGCTAAGAGCGCGCGGAAGGCCATGATAAAATCAGTAAGCTTCTTAACGAAACCTTTTTTAGTTAAGGGCATTATTTCGCGGTGCATACGCTTCCAGGGGATGGGATAATCGTTGCACAAATTAATGTCAGACAAAACATGCTTTGGCAGCCCAAGCTAGAAGGAAAGCTAAAAAGACTCGTTCTTCATTTTATATGAGTCTCAACACTCTACCAGCGAAGTCTATTTGTGTTCCAAATCGACGTCTGTAGATAAATTAAAAGGCTCTCGCTTTCGCCCCAGTCCTCGGGTTAGTCGCACAACAGGTCTTGTCGGAAATCCAAAGACAACTCTTAGAGAAAATACAATTTTTAACCGGACGCATCATCACTAAATAGCCCCGCGGCATGTTTCAAAACCGGAGGTCATTGCCACCACAGCAACAACAAGTAACGAATGCAGGTGGTCCAGAAATGATACTCCGACAATCAAACTACTCACAAAGAGAACCGTTCAACCACTCATGGCAAAATGCAGCGAGTAAGCATGCACTCACCTTGGCGATATGTAGTTTTTCAAGCCAACTGCAGTAGCTTTTAGGCACGACCCCCCAAAGAACCACATCTCAGACGCCTGTTGTTCATACCAGTAAATTCAAATTCAAACCCAGTAAGATGGTAGACTTAGTTTCGCGGAAAACTCTCCATAGCAATCGTCAGTTAAGCCTCGTAACTTTAGTCAGAGTTGTCGACCGTGGAATTGAGGATCATAAACTAATGGACATGTCCAAAGTAAATTCGTTCGTTTCATGCATTTCGTCGATGGAAACTTAGAATGCTTTGCGTACAAGGCTCGATTGGATCTACTTATAAGACCAGAGGTCCTTAAAGTATAGCAATCTTCGCTGCAATTTAGGTCCTAAGATAGGGTCCTTATTAATCTTTCCTGATGACGTCTGTGGGCATTCGTTCGCCAGTACTTCAGGACTGAAAAAATGGAACTTTAAATGTGCAAACTGCCGCTTTGGAGCCGGAACGCCGAGAGCACTTCCACGAGTCGATTTCATCGCACTTTGAGAAGTGTAAACTGTGTTGCATATTTGCCACATGTCCGAAGACGACCTGGGGAACCAGTGCCAAATATTTACGGAATAAAGTTTGTTGCATTTTCCGAAGGACTTCTTATTCCCTAGTTAAACTTCTTGGGATACCCATCTTCTAATACATATGTATATAGATTAAAAAACAGGCATCGTAAGAGATATAGGTGGGAAGATGGGATTCCATGGGAGAGAGTCAACTTTATTGTATAAATTTGTTTCGTCTTCAGAAAACGGGCGTGCAAAAACAATTAACCTCTAAGCCGAGTCTGTCAAAGAATCCTATGATTGATTAAAATCATCTTCTCGGGATTGGTTGAGACGATTTAAATCTACCCTTGACGATGTTGTATGTGGCATCTAGATCGATATGTCAGTTGATGCACGCATCGTCGGAGTGGATTATCTCAAGGAATTTTAGGCCTTGACTTACTGGGCAGGCGTCCACGATGCGAGTGTTCTCCCATGCAAATTGGTGTCCGGTGTCCAGTGTGTACATAGCCACTTGAGATAGATGATCTTGTCTCTAAACCGCTAACTGATGCTCATGTATACGGGTTGAGACAGATTTCGCAGCTTGGCCCCAATAAAAGGCATCACAATTGGAACATGAGATTTTGATAACAACGACTTTTCTTTCGAGGTAGCCAACCCATGTATCTAGGGTGTAGAAGCTGTGTGTATAACACAATCTGTTTCTTAAAATAACTAAGACGCAGATTACTTGACCAGAGTTGCGCGATGTTATGCCGTTGTGACGACAATGCAATAACATTGGTGGAAGGGCGCTCACCGATCGTGTTACGGAACTCAGGTATCGAGGGCTACAAAGCCTATTTAAGCCCACATACCTTGTGGTCGTATTTTCCATCGGCTGTTTTGCCTAAAACCTTTTGACTGAACGTAAGCAGCCGCAAACTCTGGTCAACTTACCACTCAATTCTTTCCGAGAAGAGTCATGTCCTCTACGAAAAGTGAGCTCACCATGGAGTATGGTGCGATACTAATTAAAACAGTTGTCAAAGAATACGAGTACGTGTGCCGTTCGAAAGAGATTTACAATCAGCGCAATTGGCCTTTAAGAACTTTCAAAAAACCACAGACAAGACATACATGAGCCGTCATATTGAGTATTCCGGAGGAAAGTCCCTCATTGGCGGGGTATGTTATTTCGGCGGCATATTCGAAGCCCAAGGGCAGAAATCCGGATTGGAAAAAGCTGGAAGAAGTGCAGATACAGAAGGCTTAACTACGACGGTAAGGTCTTGTGCAGCTGACAATACATGTTTTAGACTGCATGCTTGAGAACACAGCAAAAAAGCACAAAAGAACGCCCCAATGGCGCCTTTAGCGTCCTGTCTAATTAGTCATTTTCCGAAATCTGGCTTATCAGACGTGCCGCACCAATATTCTGACATTCAGGCTTTGCAACGATCAGGCTTGTGCACGCTGGGATATCTGACTTCCATTTCCAGCAAATATATTGCACAGACGTAAGTTGGTTGTGATAACTTCTGGCGTCAGATGAGTTTATCAGCGGTGCGTCAGTCGGCATCAGTAGAAATTAGAAGAATGAGATGTTCGCTAGTCCCACGGAAGCCCAATACTAGAAATCCGAAACAGACAGTACCATTGGAGTTGACTGCTTCATGACTGTGAAGTGTAACTAGTAGCTTCATGTCTGATTTTTAAAAGCTTTATGTCGTAATAAGTCAAAATGGAATGTCTGATTGAGTGACGTTAGGGGAAAGCTGCTTTCTAATGGTTCCGCGCAGACCTCGTATCTGGAAGTAGTGGTTTGTTACAACGATAGAAATATAAACAAAGATTTGAGTGAAAGGTCGCCCTACAAAGCTGCCGACGGACAGAGTAAGCACTCGTCGTGTGTTGTTCTGGCTTTGCCATTTAATGAGTAACGCTATTTTCTTTGGGTTAGGTAGGCCGCGAGGTGTAGAAGAGTGCCGCCTACTCGGCTTTTCGCTTAACATATTACCAGAACTTTGAGTGTTATCTGCAGTCGGAAACCTGAAACGTTTCGAAGTCAACGTTTTGTGTCGCATCGCCCTAGCTCGTGGATATTTGCAAAAAAGGGAGTCAAAATTTCGGAGGATAGGACACTGACATTTTATTTGCTGCTCTGGGGGAAGGAGGGAATTCATACGGCCTTCACGACGGCCACCTTTTAGCCTCGTTAGTTGTTGACACCGTGCCTCTACGTGGATTTCAGGCTTTCAAAATTGACATTTGCTAGCGGGCAGTTCTTTATGAATAAAGAGACGCCGCTGAGAAGGTTGGGCGAGGGTGGAACACCATCGGGCAGCCACGGTTCAATCTCTTTTCTTAGATTTCACCCTGAGTCAATGCGATCATTTTAGAATTTAATCGACTGCGAGCGCTAATATTCATACGTCATTGAGACTGAAGTTCGTTGGTCTAAACCTGTTGTAGGACGAAGTAGAGGCGTCCTGATCTTTCCTCATCTGCACCATCCGCCTACCAAATTGATCAATTCTCTTCTACGCCCAACTCGGCTTAACAACGCTATTTTCTTTTCAAATGAATCAAATCGGTTGGAGGAAAACTAATAGGCATTAACTACAAATAACAGAAAGGTCTAAAGAACCTAGAAACATAGCAGTGCCAAAGTCGATGGAGTCAGGTCTTAAGACTGCCTTTAACGTAGTCGGATTTCTCACCCCCAAGAACCACAGTTCAGGTGGCTATAAAGAGCAAGGAGGTCAAATGCATTTGGGAAAAAAATGCCCATAAAAAACTGTTAAACGTTATAACTCGTACACTTATACAGTCCGATGGTATTAACCGTTTGCTGGCCACGTCTCTGAATGCGGAGATTTGAGTAGCAGAACGCGGAAAACGGGGAAAGCGTCACGGTCAGCAACTCGAGCACAAATGTTCTAACTCTGCGCACTCACCCGAGTGATCATTCTTCAAGTTGGCGTTTAGAAAATGAAATTCGTATATTTCGCTTGTATCAGCCTGTGTGCCTCTCGGTATTTCGATCCAGAACGATCTCTTCGGGTGTGTTTGTCGTCATCAATCAGTCATACCTAAATTTGGAACTGGAAGCACCTATGGGTAGACTCTACACTACCTATTGGCTTAAAAATCAAACGTCACGCCACTCATACCATGGACTTCCGGCTTGTCGACATTGAGTGGGTACATAAGTAGTGTCAATTGAGTCACCATGATTCGTGGACTGAGTAAGAAAGATTTTTTCTAAGTTTTGAGCTCAAATTTACGACCCTCGCTGAAAATAACTTGTCGATGCAAAATCGTATAGAGATATGAAGAAAACAGGAAGAGGTTCTTCGGAAAAATCGAGTTTTATTCGTGAATTTGCGAGCTGGTAACACCAACCCGTCGTCACCAGCTCGAAAATTCACGAGTACAACTCGATTTTTCCGAAGAACCTCTTTTTGTTTTCATCATATCGACTCGGAATGCATAACACCTCTGATCTACATATATATATATAAGGCATTGGTGCATCTGATGGTACGTTTATCTGTCGGTTAGTTCTCTTGCTGGAAGTAATTTTGCCTAACAGTCTCGTCCCGTCGCGCTTCTGCTTTCATTACTAGTTGCTCTTTGAATGTCTGTAGGGCACTAGACCGATTCCCAAATGTACCGGCACAAGCATGTCCCGGAACCCGATCGTTGAACGAATTTCCAACACATTTGTATGAAAAAATAGGAGACGTTCTTCGGAAAAATTGAGTTGTACTCGTGAATCTTCGAGCTGGTGATACCAACCCGTCGTCAGACGAAATGAAAAACGAGGGAAAAAGTTGGGTTGTCACGTTAGACCAGTTGGTTTACGACTGACTGTCCCCTGCCCTAATCACGCATCAACGACCGCGAATACAGAAGCTTGCAGTCCAACTGATTCACCACCCACCCTTCCCCTCCAGCACAGTGTGCCGTAGTTGTTCCGCCTCCTCTCCCTTCCCGCCTCCCTCACTCAGGGACCTAACATGACCTCAGAAGCCCACCCCCTCACAAGTCAGTGGTCGATCTGTCCTATGGCACCAACTGGTCTAGTGTGGCAACCCAACTTTCTCCCTCGTTGTTCATTTCGTCTGACAACGTGTTGGTGTCACCAGCTCGAAAATTCACGAGTACAACTCAACTTTTCCGAAGAACCTCTCCTGTTTTTTCATTATATCAACTCGGAATGCATACCACCTCTGATCTACCACATATATGTATATATACAGGATAGATATTAGTGCTAGTGGACCTACCCGAGCAGGAACATGGCAAAGAAGATGACGCCGATTTGGTAGGTGTAGATGCTGCCGATGTAGAAGCCAAAACTAACCACACTCAGTACGTAGAAGATGATCAGCACGCGCCTTGGTTTGCGCAGAGAGAACCACGCGGATAAGGAAAGGACAAGGCAAGCAAAGGCGGATTTAAGTTACTTCAAAATCATAAGGAAATAAGCAAATGAAAGGCGCTTCACGAAATTCTATCTGTCACCTACATCCAGTCTGCGTTGCGTATGTGTCCTAAAAGAAGTGTTTTAAAATGTCGCACCGAAGAGCTAATTTCTAGACACCTCCCGCCTCTTCAAGCCTGCGACTTAACTGGACTCTGACCCCTGACCTTTGAACGTTCCTGAACCCTCGTTCCAATACTGACTTTTATTGGCTGTTGAACTTTTGCTAATCTACAACCATATTACTGGAAACGTACGTTTTGCTGGGCATGACTTCTTTAAAAAGACGATTATTTGGATCGGCGGTCGTAACGCAGGCGAGACCTGCGTGGTTGGGACATGTGCTCCAGTTTGGACAGCAACCATTTCTCTTTTCATTCATCAATGGAGATTAGCCACCCTTCCTACGTACTCCGAGGACTTTAAGATTTATTCTTCTCCTGCTGGTCAGCAATAGATAAAACCATATTATTAGCGTACTTAAGCCTATGTTCTTTCTTTGCTGTATACCTTGGCTGGATGTCCTCTGATAAAAGAAAACCAATTGGCTGACCACGTCTGCTTTTTTATTCCAGGCGGTTTTGATGGCCTACCCGGATCGCATCTGACGACTATTACGATCCACATAATGTAGTAAAAGGTTTAGGATTTGCAGAAGCAACAGCTGGTTGTCTCATTTGGTCAGAATTTGACCCTTTTGAACCTTGGCATGCAAAATCTGCCCAGGCTTTCTCTAACTTCTATTTCTGGATTGGGTATGTTTGTCGGCGTGTGTAAGATGGCCTGTGTAAATTTACAAAATCCGCGGTAATCTTATGGTCTTTGACACGAGGCCAGTCGATATTCCAATTTTCATCCTGTATATGTTACGGTATCCTTGAGATAGAAAATATTCGGATTCTTTGACTCGGGAAACATGAAATTGACAGGACTGCGTCTTAACTCCAATTCTGATATTAGCCTAACCTTAATCCTATTCACAACCTCAATTCTAACTTCCCTGGAATTCAGAGCCGGGCAAATTGTATTACGGGAATTCCTATGTCCGTCTTATCCCACCACCCACCCGCTATGTTACGCACTTTAGTTTAAAGCAAGTATATTATATACAATAACTAACGACGGGTCTACTACCCTGGTACACCAGGGACACTCCGTTTGGAGAAAGACGAAAAAACTTCAAATGAAAAGACAGTGAAAATAAAAATCAAATGAATCATCAGAGGAACGCCTTCTGTGCTGTAAAAGCGACTAAGTTTACAAATCTTGTCCGCTGCATAGGACTTAGGAATGTACTGACATACGTTTGGGTGAAATACTGTTTACAACACATCAAATGGGTCAGTTCATGCGTTCAGTATGAAATGTTGGCTTCATATCGACAATGCTTCAGGCAATCTAAGAGCAACTCAATTAACAATTTAGGGCTATCTCTCATCGGGAAGCTAGTAAGTCGGCGCACGACCATTCCTGCCTGAAGAAATGCTCGATTTGCAGCCACAGATACTGTTCGGGAGAAGAAACACTGATGAACTCTATTCTGATATGTGCATCATGCATGACTCATCTGAGTGCATGGCTTCGATGAACTCAAGAACACTTTTGGTAGGGTAGGGGATTGACGATGTGGAGTTTGTTCCAGTGTTAGGTGTATTGGGTATGTGTGACCACTTGGGATGGAATGCTTGCCTCTTAACTGTCATTTGATGCTCGTTGATGCCTGTGGAGGCGGATTTTGTGCGTTTGGCCACAATATACAGCATGGCAGACACCGCAATGGAACTTGTAAACGACATCCTTCTTATCAAGATACCTAACCCTGTCCTTAGGGTGTACGAAATGAATGTGTGATGTAGTCGTCAGTTCGCGCGCATCTTGTATTTTCTCAAGTGTTCTTCAACGTTTAGACATGCGTTTGCAATGCACGGAATAATTCGCCAAGTATTCGCTTTGGGTGCGTGATGTGAACTACATATTTACTTTTCTTATAATTCTTATTGTTTTATACCCTGTCGTACAAAATATCTTGAATAATTATTCAGGGATTGGCGTTCACGTTTTCCATTTCTCTTTGAGATTTGTGTACATGACATCAAGATCGATGCGTCGGTTGATGCATGAATCATCAGAGTGAATGACCTCTAGGAATTCTCGGTCTTTCTTACGTGGGCAAGAAGCGACAATGCGTGTTTTGTCCCAAGAAAATTTGTGCTCAGTTTCAAGAGTATGCATGGCGACTTGGGATAAGTGATCGCCAGTCAAAACCTGACGTCAGCCCACAGCACCGACGAAGAAATATCGAATGTTCGGGCAGGTTTAAATTTTAGCTACTTTTTCACATTTGCTACATGTCTGACGGCGACCTGGGGAACCAGGGTGGAACTTTTACGAAATAAAGTTTGTTCAATTTCCCAAAGAACTCATTTTTTTCGGAGTATGTTTCTTGGGGTGCTCATTTTCCAGAACATATGTATATATTTACAGTAGGTGGGCTAACTCACGAAATGTCAATCTAAATTTCGAAACGCGTTTTCGTTTGAAAACATTACTTAAGTAGGGTAGAAGAACTTATAATTACACAGCAAAATTCTATGAAAATTAAGTTATCGCAGGATGTCATCTTTCGAAAAAGCTGCTTTTTGGCCACATGCAAGACCTTTATTCTGCAAAAAATGACTATTTAGGTAGCATCCATTTTTCTCATCGTTTTTCGATTCCCTTAAAATTTCAATTACATTTCTTGGAAAACGTGCATAAAAATATTCTTTAGCCCGCCCATTCCGTCGGAAATTACGTCTTCTTTCAATTTTGTACTCGGAGAAAGTGTAAAAATCGGTTTTAAAAATGTTTCTAATTGTGAGATTTTTTAAAACTCTGAGATGGCCATTCATAAAACCTCATGTCTCTGCCTTTACCAATATGGCTTGTAAAGTTAGCAGTATAAATCAAATGCACTGTTTAATTTTATGAACCTCATATGGTTTCCTCATAATGCCGTAGTAGAATGTATGGTTTTCCTTACTCAGAAAATATATAGCATATAGGTTGGAAACCCTGAATGCCAGTGTAACGGCAGGTCGAGTTCAAAATTATCTGGGAATTGGAAAAGTTTCTGAAAACCAAATCATGCCATGACCTCAAATATAAACTTTGAAAAAAGGCGTAATGCTCTACCAAATGAACAACAGAATGCATATTTTTGTGCGTGATTTTCATGAATTATAATTGACTTGTTGAAGGCATCAAAAATCGATGAGAAAATGCATGTTACATAAGTAGTCGTTTTTTTACAGAGTATAGGTCTTGCATGCAGCCAAAGAGACGTTTTTTCAAAAGCCGGCATCCTAAGGTAAGTGAATTGTTATAGAATTATGCTGTAAAATCATAAGTTCTATTACCCTACTTAATTAGTCTTATCAAAACGTTAACGCGTTTCGGAATTTCGATTGACATTTCATGAGTTAGCACACCCACTGTATAGATGGCTGAGGAGAGACGGCAGAGTGTGGGGGGTAGATAGATTAAAACTGTTTGGGGATTGATTGCCTCCATTTAGACAATCTAAACCCCGAACACCAGCTGGGACCGGAAACACGAACATGCGCTCACACCCCTGACGTAGCTGGTCCACTACCGGGTCCTAGCAGACGGATCATAACCATTTCACTAAACCGATGTTTACCAGCACCTTGTCACCTGCCATTCTCTGTCACTGCAAATCGGGTATTAAGTCACCCAGGAAAGGACGTAGACCGATCCCAAAGCAAACGGGTTTCCTATGGGTGATAGGCATCACGCACAGGCAACCACATGGGATGCCGAATTGTGTCTGACAGGTTCATCCACGAGCGCAATGTCTGACTAATTTTTTGTCAGTGTGTGTTCTATGCCGAGGTCACTACGCCACGCTTTGACTGCAGGTCAAGCAACTAAGGATTCGCGCAGCTGCCGGTTCCCACGCAACCTCCGCCATCGTCGGACGTGAAGGTGTAACCAAGTGCAGCGAGTTGATTTCACTCCTCCTCCTCCTCCTCCTCCTCCTCCTCCTCCCCCTCCTCCCCCTCCCCCTCAAATCCTCCCCCTCCTCCTCCTCCTCACTGCTGGAGTATTCGCGAGTGGATCAAAACCAGCAGACAAAACGTGCTAGCACCATTGAGTGAGGCTGAATCTCAAGAGACTGCGAACTTGAACTGTTTCAGTGAAGGATGTGTTTGCCAATCACTTGACAGGCGTGACAGACTGTTGAGTCATGAGGAGTCAGCAAAGAGTGCACTTTTAGAGTGCTACAGCACCCAGCACGGGCGGACTCTAACACGGGTAAGTCCTGCGCAAGTTTTTAAGTGCGTTGCGTAACACCCAGACAGTGCCAGAGGCGCGCTGGCATTCGTACAGCTTCTACACATCAACGTCAGGATACGTAATTATTAACGCCCTTACGCCTTCACAGCAAGTTCAATTTCTCAAAGAGGGAATAAATCATTGGGACAGCAGAAATAATTAATTTCCACCTGATACAAATGCTACTTTGTTCGATGATCTGGTTGACTCAGCGGAGGCACCTCACGATCTAATTGCATCATGCACTTTGCATGCCAAACATGCGTGAAATGCTGTTCTATCTAGCTTGGCAGATTTCGTCTCAATCAGGCACTGTCTCGTCAACCGAGACTATTTCCCTGAGTACGCATCATATTAGTTCAACCCTTTAACAACCAATGCATGTAACGCACATAATCTGAGACCTAGTTCATTTTCTTCAGGCATAATTTTTCTCGCGGTGTAACAAGGAAATGACATTTTAAAGTTGTGGAAATCCTCATAGCTATATTCAGAAGAAAAGGTGACGAGTGAAGGTTGCTTTCGATAACTTCTTGTCAAGCCAGTATATTTATATGTGACGGGGTACAGTGAGTGAAAAAAAATCAGTAAAATGTGGTTTTTTAAATACAGGCTAGGCAAGAGCGGAAGGGCGCAGAAAGTTGCATGTGGTTAGTAAACCGTTGACCGCAGTAAGCGCGGAGCCTGAACGAGGTTCTTCTAAGCGCATGGGTTCGGTTTTCGTAACCTGATGGCGGCCGCTTCTGCTGTTGCTAACCGGCGCTGTCCCAGTAGCTTAGGGTAGCTCAAGAGGACCTTATAAATCACACGAAATGCTTCAACGGGATCAACACTATGCCCTGAATTCACTGTATGCGCAAGGATGACGCTGTCTATTTTCCTAGTTTCACCCTTTGCCAGTCATGCGGGAAGGTGCTCTCTTATTCTTTTGGAAAGGCGCCGACTCGTACGACCAATATAACCTGCTCCACAGGAGCAGGTGAGTGAGTAGATGCACATTGAGGCGGTCTGAGATGACAGACTTTCCTTGCCTTCTCTGCGTAAAATAGGGTTAGTAGAGAATGATATGCGAACCCATGCTGCTGGGAAGGTTCCCGTGACAACTTGGTCAAGGCGTCTTCTAAGGAGTTCACTTGCAACTACTCCTTGGAAATGGACTTTGAGGAAAAACGTTTTCAGAAGAGACAGTGGCGAGCGAACTTTCCTTTTGGTACCTTCTCATCAGGCCAATACAGTTACGTAGGACGGGGTACCGTGAGTGAAAAAAAATCGATAAAAGTTAGGTTTTTAAATACAGACTCGGCAAGAGCGGAAGGGCGCAGAAAGTTGTATGTGGTCAGTGTGATGGGTTTTGCGGGTCGTTCGGCAAGATTCTTTACAATGAACCTGTACTGGATTTTTCTAAGTTCCTCCTCGATAGTATCGAAGGCAACGTTCGCTCGCCACCTTTTCTGCTGAATAGTTCAGAAGTGCCTTTCCACTAAATATCTTCAGGACGTCAGCCTGACATCTATTATACGCAAATAAACCTATAGTGAGTGGGTCACGTACCGATGGAATGTCAGATTCCACTATTGCTTGCTTTTTTACTTTGTAACCTGAGCATTGTGTAAATGCAATCAGTAATTTGTCGAGAAATGGAAAATCCTAGTACCAGTCTCTGTCGTTGTCAGTGAGTTATATCGGTCTTTGCTCCATTTTATCCATTCCAAGCCCCAAGAACATGTCACAGCGTAGATGCGCTGGCCCAACACGGCGGCGACATCGGATTCTGGCAGGCGTTATCAGAATACGCACCAAAACTAGTGCCAACAATTGGGGGGTAATGCCAGGCTCAGTTGCCGACTCAAGTCGCGCACATTGGGAACCCTGCCGTCCCCCATTGCTGTTGTTGATTACATTTCTAATCACGTATTTATTGTGGTGCTGTGCCTAGGTGCAGGTTTACGCCACCTGCTCTGCCATCCCGCCTTCGGTCTTCTTGACTGCGCCCTGAAACCTGGTCCAGCAATGTGAGGAGGGCAGTGTGCGGTAGAGGCTGCGCAAGTCTGTCAATCGTTTGTAAGTTGCCGTGCCTGCTCTAACCTTGCTGTGGAGCACATAAAGGACATCATCTGTCACGACCGTTAAACTGTAAGTAGCCAGTCCCCATGCGGCTTCGGCTGCACGGGTGACTTGGGTCCGAGACTATCCCGACACGTCAAGCGCCGTAGAAAGGAAGGTTGCTGGTTGACGCCTGCACTCGGTTCACGCAGTTCGTCGCGTTGCGTGTGTGTTGTGCGGACTGGTGGGCTGGGCGACGGGCTAAAACAGCACCTTCCGCGGCCCTCTCACGCAAGTGGGAGGCACGCCGTTCAGCCCCCATTGTGTGAAATCCTGGTGTTTGTGTGTGTATGGGGGGCCAGGTCGTGCTCGCGGCGCGCGCAGTCATGGTCAGTCGATCATGCCAGCCACCGCGCCCATTTCCCACTCCAGTCTGCTGACCGGCTCGGCTAGCGGCTGCGGTGTGGGAATGGGAAGGGAGAGTGAGGTCGACGACTCAGCGCACTTTCTTCACTATAAGCAATCTGACGCGCTTGAAGCTATCACGGTGGGCTTAAAGACGTGGCTTGGAAGGTTGCCAACTGACGGGATAACTTGTACCTCCTCCTTGACTGGAGGCGGTCTGAGAGTCAGGCTGCAATGGCTCCCTTTTAATGTGGCCTTTATGGCACTCCCATCACAGTGTGGGATCCGAACCAGGCGTTGGCGGCACGCCTAGGTGCGGCTCCGGCCGTGCCAGCTTCCAATCTCGGTTGTGTTGGTTGAAATCCTGGTTATTTGTTGTGTGGACCAGGGGGTGTGGTGGAGCGCCAAGGCGAGGAGCCGTCCGAGCCATCCACCTGCGGCCTCCCTTGTCTCCGGTCTTCTTGACTCTGTCTTGACACCGTGCTCGGGCGAGGGGGGAGGAGAGAGTGTAGGTAGATGCAGCGCAAGTCTACTGGCACTATAAACCCCTGCGCTAGTCACCGTCCCTCCTCCCACCGCTGCTGCAGCTGTGGGGCACACGGTGGACATCATCGAAATCGACGGTCGAACTGTCAACCAGTTCAAAGCCAAGATTCGGCAATGGGTGGTTTTAAGGTATTACTGGCGGTTAACGCCTGGTGATCTATAAACGACCTCCTACTGGGTATCTGGTGTTTCGCAGCAACCTACTTGCGACTTTTACAGTCAGACGGCGTCTTACATAAGTTTTGCTTACAGGGGCCCGAGCATTGCGACCGAGAACTCTCCACCTTATCGGAAAACGTTACAATGTTGCCTTTTCGTTAGCGAACCGCTCTCTCTTTGGAATAGTCGCTAGTCTGAAACGACAATTTTACGGAACCCATGTATGGTAGGGTTTGTCATTGGTAGTATATATAAACTTTTAGGTATGCGAAGACTGCGCCGCTGCTACGTTTCCTGAAGTTGGTAGTATTCAGCTTGGACTTTCATGAACATTTTGATAATGAACCAAAAAATTCAACTTAATTCTCCGCGCCACTTTAAAGGATAAAACGGCTATAGGTTTACCGGTAGAGTCCAGTGCGTTCCAACACTACACCAGCAACGATTGAGCCGATCAAACCGGCAATCACCATAGTGAAGCCTATCCAGCCGATTGCCACTTGATCGTTCTGTGAACATGATGAGAAAGAGTTAGACAAATATGCACTGGACAGAGTTAATCCTCTCATTGCGGAGGGAATGAATCTGTGAAAGGAAAAGTAGTACAATATCTATACATCTTTTGCCTCCTAGATGCTGGTCCTAACCACTTCAACACACTCTGCATATAGAGGAGATACCATTGGAGACAAAACTGGTTTTCGTTAGCCAGTCGCGCCAAAATACAGACAGGGATGTCTTGAGGCCGGCGTCACTTGAAACTCCGTTTGCTTTGAGGTGACTGAGATTAGACACATTTGGAGTTTAAGGGACCGCCTCCTAATTGGCCGATTGAAGGGAGGAACATGTTATTTTCTGACAGGAATGTGGGCTAACGTTTCCCTGTGAATAATTTAGTAACAGAAACAAATTGTCGCACCGTCACCTGATTGGTTAGTGCCAGCATCGCTCTTTTTTTTCTAGCCAGGTACGCGGAGATATGTCTTTCAACGAATTACCCCCACAAGGTCTCGCAATCAAATAACCTGAAGAGTGCGGTATTCTACTGCCTTAAAATTCATTTAAAGGTGGAAAGAAGAAGCAATAAACTTGCTAGCCCAACTTAAAATATATCAGAGCCTTAAAATTATATCTGTCTGAGATGTGAACAGATAATAGAAGTATGTTTGTCCGAACATGGTAACAGTTGTCTTAGAAATGTAATCTTTAGTAATGACTGTCATGGAGTGGCGCGGCTATTTAAGAAGAAGCTTTAAAAGATTCACTAAAGCCTTTTTTAAATTTCACGAAATGAAGACATGGATATAATCAGAATGCGTTTGCGAGATCACGTGACACCAGGTAGTCTCAAATTTTGTTATTAAGGCGCGTGTCCACTACTCAGACAGCAGAGAGTATGACTTTTTCGGCTGACAGGCAATTTTTTTGGATGATAGGAATGCGGCTGGCTGGTAATATACCGTGAGCCAGAATTTTTCCTCTATAAGTACGTCGTCGTTTCATTTAGTGCATAGCTCGTTTTGGGTGTTTTCTTCTGTTTTTACATAGGCTTCCCCATTAGCACAGTCCAATCCCATTGAAATCTTCCAGACATACATTTGTAAACTTCTTACAGTAGTTCATCAAGCCGGATGTAACACTAGGATGGCGTCACATGACAGCACACTTTTTGCGGTATCGACCGGTGGTCAGTAAAATTGCTTTTGCATCAAAAAAGCTACTTATAGGACATATCCCCTCTGTGTGGTTTCAGCTTGGTTAATTGTTTACCTTAGAGAAAGTAAAACAAAACCAAAACAGATGGGCTTAGCTGATTACTAAGGAGAGCCTGGGAGCCCTCTAAGATACAGTGAATGACCAATCTCATAAAATGTGAGTCGGAATTCTAAAAGGAGTTTCAGATTATGGAGGATTACCTAGGTGAGGTTGTAATGTTGACTACCATGCGGCATAATCTCATAATATTTTGGGACTTGCTAATATGGTGGCCTTGTGAATGCACTTTTGGTCGACCTGCTATAAAGGCCGCATGCGATAAAAAAATAACTACTTTGTATACCTCTTTCTCATTGGTTTTAAATGGTCTTATAAATTTAAATATATTTTGTAAAAAAAAATGCTAAAAGCATGCTTACCCAACATCGTTTGGCAGCAAACCAAATAAGATTTACATTTTTTACTCAATGAAAGTGTATGCTTAGGTTTTAAACGTTTCTCCATTCCTGAATAATTATGAGCCAGATAAGAGTTCCACTGGCGTTTAGCGATTTCAGTCTACGAGGTATATTTTTTCCACGGTGCGAAAATCATTTTTTCCTTTAGGTACTATACAGAGTTCATAAAATTTTGTGACGGATGCGACCTATGTTGTAGGCTTCACGAGAAGCATTAACAAATGGACGAGTACGATGATGTATAAATAGACATTGCACGGTCTTAGTGACTTTCATAATTATAAGCTTTTTGGAACCGGGAGGCAGTGATTTGAGTGACCATCAAATGAATTGACGAATGTGCACTTTTACGCTTCGAAAGTCGGCGTAAAAGATATGCAAAGGTAAGCATATTGGCGAGTCTGAAATAGTAGAGAGTTACGCCGAATGATACTCGGTATTGCAACCCTGACTAAGTAATCCTTCCTTATTGAAAACACACTTCGGAATCTCGGTTAACATTTCATGCGATCGATCACTCAATGTATTTTTTTGCAAGCAAGCAGGAATGGTGCACATACAAGTGTTTTTGCTCCGCCAGTATCGCAGGAAAAACATACACTTTTTCGATAACGTTTATTAGTGGCTCGTCAAAGAAGTAAGGAAACAGCTAACACTTGTACTTATATAAGAACCAGCCTTTTGCTACTCTATGGAAAGTCTAAAAAGAAACTTCACGAGCAACAACTTTTTTTTTAATTCCCACTTTTTCCAAAAAATCCGTGTTATGTATACTCTGAAGGATTCCTGTTTGCCTCCTTTATCGCAGGCGGCATCGTAACAGAAGTTCATAAGCAGACTTAAATTCCCATCGATGTTTACGCCTGTCAGTCTTATAAGGTTTTCCAAATAAATTTAAACCAGTAAATGTCCTTGTTTAAAGTAAATAATGCGGTAAAAATGCAAAAAGACGAAACGCCAGGTCTATTTGTTTCTGAACTCCATTTTTAAATGAGTTCTCAGTGCTTTATAGACAGCAGCCATTTGACTCTGGCCGTGTTGTCGACTTCGGACTGCTTACACTGTCATTCGGGTTTCGATGTCCTGGTCAAATGACTATTTAGGAGTTTTTGTGCGTGGAGCGATACATTCGCAGTCGTTGCCTACAGCAACCGCACCGCGTTTTCCAGGCTTTTGGATAAGTCTGACGGTGGACACGAGTGTATTAGGAGACATACCAATTTTACACGGGAAAAACAAAGGTTCGCTATTGCAAAAGTCTTTCTTCGGACAAAAAATGGGACAATTTATGCTACTTACCGGGTAGTGGACGAGTAGAATAACACTCAACAGTGTGCTAATGGTGTGGTAGACACCCGTGTTTACACCTTAATGCAGCGAAAAAGGTGCAGCAATCAGACTTCTAATCTCATCTTAAATAGCATGATTATAATTAATGTCTTAAATTATATGTATATGTGTATATAAATACAGGCATGAGCTAGTAGGTATTCAGTACCGAAAAAGCGGCTGTTTATTAGATCAATCGAAGGGTACTCATATAGTTTAATCAGTCACACTAATTCGGTACCAAATGGAATGAATGAGGAAGAGACTGAATTGGAATGGAAGAATATTTGAGGCCACGGAGATTGCAGAAAGAGAGTATATGTATGTGAGAAGGGTTGACACAACCTTACCATATATATACACATAGCAGCAGGGCTAGACGACAGAGAATGCGGGTAGATTTATACAGTACTGTTTCGGGCTTATTTTGCCTTCATTTAAGCAATTCTAACCCTGACGAGCAGCTGGGTCCTGAAAAACGAACATGCGCACAGACGCACAGACGCACCTGGCGCAGTTGGTCCACCACTTGGGTCAACCAGGTGATTCATAAGCACTTCATCGAAGGGAAGTTCATCAGTGCCTCGCTACCTGTCATTCTCTGTCTCTGTGGATCGAGTAATTAATTAAGAAGGAGTGGGCGCACACTGATCTATTGGCTTCACGAAGCCAATAAGGTCCGTATGCGTGGCAAAGGTCACGAACAGGCCACGAGCCCGTTGCCTTGTCGGCTCGAGAGAGAGTCCTTAAGGCACAACGGAACGAGTGAGTTCCGTATGAACGATCGGTGAGCGCCCCCAAACATTGTATATTCCTGATCGAAAACCGACAAGGCAACGAGCTCGTGGCCCGGTGGGTAGAGACGTGGACTTCTAAACCAACAGGTTGCGAGGCTGAGGCTCGGGTGTTCCACACTTCGGGCTTGGGTATGGTTGGCTGACGACGGCTAATAAGCCAGAAATGGACATTCCAGTCTCCCTTGTCTTTGTCGGTAATAGCATTGTGTCTATATACCATGCGCCGCTGTGCGGCTGCTTGTTGGGACCGAGAGAGAGCCCTTAAGGCACCACGGAACGAGTGAGTTCCGTATGAACGATCGGTGAGCGCCCCCTACCATTATATGCATATATATGCAGAATAATATTACCGACAAAGACAAGGGAGACTGGAATGGTCATTTCTGGCTTATAAGTCGTCGTCAGCCAGTCATACCCAACCGCAAAGTGTGGCACACCCGAGGCTCGAACTCGCGACCTGTTTGTAAGAATTCCGCGCCTCTAACCACTGAGCCACGAGCCCGTTGCCCTGTCGGTTTTCGATCGGGAATATACAATTTATCATGCGCCGCTGTGCATCTGCTGGTTGGGCTCGAGAGGAAGCCCTAAGGCACAACGGGACGAGTGAGTTATGTAACACGATCTGTGAACATCCCTTTACCCATACATATATAACGGTTGACAGCCGCCAATAAGCTAGAAATGGCCATTCCAATCTCCCTTGTCTTTGTCGGCACAAACTTGTTAGGGATAAGACGCATATTGTCGGTTCCTTCCTATAAAAGGAATGCCAAGAACTGCTGGAGAGGATCCACTCTGACGATCCATGAATCTGTCGGCGCGTCGATCTGGATGCCATGTACGCAGATATCAAAGAAAAGAGCAAAAAGGTGATGGAAACGCGATGCCAGCCCAATGCATCGATCTATTGGCAGCACAGACATAGACAAATCGACCTTTTCAGGCACGCTTAGGTTTTAACCCTTTGTCACTCTTTTTATGCGTCTGACAACCTGGGGGACCAACGTCGAAATTAAAATTCCTCAAAATTCCGAAGAAATAATTTTTCGAAATATATATATATATATACATATACATAGTGGTAGGTGGCGTTTACCGATCACGTTACAGAACTCACTCGTCCCATTGTGCCTAAGGGTCCTTTTCGAGCCTAACCAGCAGCCCCATGTATAGAGAGAAAATCAAGGGAGATGGGTATAGCCATTTCCGGCGTATCAGCCGTCGTCAGTTTGCCATGCCCGACCCCGGGGTGTGTGATACTTGAGGCTTGAGCACAAGACCTGTTGGTTAGATGACCACCAAGGATCGATTGATTCGTCTCCTCAGCACTCACTGATGAGTTTGAGTTCGGAAGGATTTCCAAGTTTTCCCATGATAAACGGCATCACATATGACGCATCGGATCTTGCAGACCAAACTTTTTCTACCCGATTGGTTGTGCATAAGGAAGCTGCCGGTTTGTGTGCTACTTCTATTTGCTGTTTCTTCCTGTCATTCAACAAATTCGGTTTTATTTATCACGTATGGGAGCGCTAGATATATTCATCTCTTCCAATTGTTGATGTGTCAGTATTGGCGTATGAAGTTGCGCAAGCAGTTTCATAGAGATTATTTAAGTAGTGCCAACAAAGACAAGACGATCTGGATGGCCTCCAACCCACGGTCTTAGTCGTCGAGCGTTGTATATGCTACTAATCGATATGCGACTGTCTGCAAGGACTCTGGATTTAAATGCATCTTGGTAACTTGATCGGTGAACATCCATTTATCATGGTTAACAGGTTTGACCACAATCGGCCGGAAAAGAAGCCTGGGGTCGCTGATTAGATCGTCGGGATCACTGACACCCAATAACCGAAAGAACCCGGCTTCGAACCGCAGGTGACCTCGAGCCAGAGGCTGATAGATGAGAGCTAACAAAACGGAAACTATCATCCCAGTCTCGCTTGCCTATGCCGATATTCCCTCCTCGAGGGCTCCAACCACTTTGCTCGGCCGACCGCCTTCCTACTTTAGCTCATGAGATATCTATCTACAACCGCAAAAACACATTTGTATGATAAGATCCGTAAAACCTCGAGTGGGTTCCTGCATGCGGTCGCCCTTATTTTGGGATGGGCATCCCTCCACATTATAAATGTTTTTCCGAGGAACTTCTACAGAAAATGCCAAAGTTCACTTAAAACCTACATGTTATGCTATTGAGGAGTGGCTGCTACTGATAACGCTACCGTATATGAGACCGGGCGGCCTGACATGAAACAATGGCGGTAAAAGTGATTTTATGAGAAGTGGTGGACAGCACACTCCACGAAGAAAAATGCCGAAAATTGCAGTTACGTCAATGCTATTTATGCACAACAACGGACAGTGAAAAGTCTAGCGCGTTATTTAAAAAAATTAATAAAATACGGAATTCGCGGATTATCTCAATGACCGACAACCCGTAAACCGATATCAAATTATATGCAACCAAAAGACCGATGAGTGGAAAAACGCACCTGATAAGAAATACTAGAAAGCGAACGTATAAAAAGCAACATACAGAAAAGTAATAATTAAGGAAAGACAGGGTAAAAATTATTCGCAAATGCAGTATATGCAAGTTACTAGTCGACACCGGACCCATTATGCGTGCGCTCTTGGGCTGACCGTGATCAATCTCCCGGCGTTTGTGACTAAGTAGTCAGCATAGGACCCACTAGGTGTGTCTTCGCAAGCCAACCCTTATGCTTAAATGTAACCTTTAATCCCTAGTTTCCACCCTTTTTGTAACCCTAGAGCGCGAAACCTAACCTTGAAGCATTAACCCTAATCCAGGCCTTTAAACTCAAGCAATACCCTTTACCCTAGCATAAACATCCTGTATCCAAAATAAACGGACCTTAACCCTAATACTAGCTGTTCTAGTTTTGCTAAAGCATGCCTATTCAACTAAAAACAAGCATGCAGGTTTCGCAACAATGACTACGTAGGTCTACTCACGATACCGTCACTAGCACTCCAATTTCGGCGCATACTGCTGCATGAATTTCTTTGCATCACTAGGTTCCACCTGCTTTCGGATAATCAATAAGCAATTTATTTCGACGCCGCTGATTGGCATTTCTAACTTCTTCTGCTCTTCGGAGCCCAGTTCCACTTTGATGGTCAGTTGTGCTTCCTATTTCGCCCCGCCTCCAGAGCTCTCTTCGCTAAATATGACCTGATCTTAGGCAGTTTGAATGCCGTTTCCGACTATATTCACCGTGTGCCCCACAGCAGCATACTTACATGGCATCTGACGCACTCTCTCCTTCCCATGCCTGGGCTGGCGACCTAGACTTCGATAGGACAGACCCGAATTAGTAAATTTCCATTTCCTGGAACGACTGTTATAATGGCAAACAGGATATTTCAAAGCCACGTACGCTTCCTCTGGGAGACAGTAAATCAATTGACGTGACTCCTACCTTGATGGCATAACAGAATTTTGCTGATAATTTCTTCACTAGACTTGCGCATCTTTGACTCTGAGTGACAGCTTCTGCACAATAACGGTTTATACGAATCTCTTTATGACGCTGAACAGAAAAAGGGCGTGTCTACATTAAGAGAATGTCGATAAAACCCCCCTGTGGCCGAAATGTCTTTCCAGATAGCGCATAAGTCATTCCTGTTCGGCCCTCAAATTTTCTTGACACTTCAGATCGGTATGGACCTATTGGGAAGGGCAAACAAGAACTGGTAAACGACAGGGAGAGGGTTGACTTACCGTAACAAATGTTCAAGAGGTCGAAACTGCAGTTTTTGAAAAGTTTCAAGAAGGTGGCCTTATAGCCACCGCCCTCTGGACCGAAGACAGTGGCGGTGGTGGTGAGGCTACCAACGCTGAGTGAGGAGACCGGCGAAGAAGACCTGGAGAGATCTTTCTCTTGAAGGCACAGAAAGACAGAGGGGAGGGGATCAGAAGGGCATTCACATATGACAGAACAAGCAAATTCGCACTCGGAGCGTGTCCTTACTCTGGAAACCACCCACAATTAATAATCACAGATGTTTTGGCAGATTTTGAATGAGTCATATTGATCCAGCTGTGAAAAACCCGGCGCCTTGGCAGGATTCGAACCCGCGCAGTACGAATTACGTGACCCTGGTAGTCATCGACGTCACGCTATCTCCATCCTTTCAAATGTCACAGTGACCTTTCGAATCAAGCTGAGTAGAGGTTAGTTTGTGCGCGATATCTGAGTAGGCGTAGTAGGTCTGTCGGACACATAGACTGAACTGAACTCATGCAAAGCATAAGTTAGCAGTTAAAACAAGATGCCGCCCTCTTGTAATGGATACTAATGAAGCCTCAGGAGAGTAACACCACTGTAGAAAACCGATCGCAACCGACAGGACATCGGGTGATGGACTTCTAACCAACGGATCACTCGTTTGAGCCTCGAGGGTCTGACACCTCGTGGTTGGACATGGCTGGCCGATGACGACTAACAAGCCAGAAATGGCCATTCCAGCCTACCTTGTCTCGGTGTACTTACAATTACCCACTTGTCTAGACTGGCCACGGCCAGTTGCCAGTTCCGTTTTACTAAGCTCATGTATGTACGTCGTTAATCTTTCTGTCGGCAGTGCAGAATTTTAGGGCAAAGGAATTTTTTTAGTTTTCCATAACGACCTGTCCTGCAAGTGAGGCTGGACTGACTCGCGTTAGTCGAACCGCGATACAGCTCACATGGAGGCATGTACGCCACATCTGCGCCCAATTTCATACCAGCTCGAATGTTCAATCGATGCATGAATTAGGTCTGATACCGTAAAGTTCATCCTCACACAACTCAGGCTGACGCGTTCGAACCTATTAGAATGCTCCAAACGTTGCGCCCTACAAGGTTGTTAACTGGTTCGTTCTTTCTTAGGACTTAGGATCAAGATGTGGTGGGACATCTTCATTCTCAGACCAGCAAGGTGCCGGACTTCCTACTGTAATCTGGTACAAGCATAGTAGGAAGAGTATCCTGTGTGACTCGAGTAGCTGCGCTGCTTGACTTTGTCATACAACCCGCCCTCATCTACCCGGGGTTATTTACTCGTTTTCTTCCTCTCGGAGAAATGTGCATATGGGAGAAGAGAGTGAGGTGAAAGCATCGCAAGTGTACCTCACCATAACTCACGCGCAAGACATTAGTCAATCACCTCGCGGATAGCCGTTAACCTCCTCCGCCTATCCTGCAACGGTCGAAATATTGCACTTGGAAGACCATAGACGTCTATATCTTCTCGCAAAAGGCTGCGCCTGTTTTGTGCGAAGTCCTGGATTTGTTAATATATATATATATACCACCTCTGATCTACACTTACTTCACGTCTGAAGACGACTTGGGGAACCAAGATCGAAAATTTACAATAAAACTTGTTAATCTTTCCAAACAGCTTATTTCTATCGAATATATATAGATATATAGAATGTTAGGGGGTATGGCTGGCTGACGACGGCTAATAAGCCAGAAATAGCCATTCCAGTCTCCCTTGTCTTTGTCGGTAATATCATTCTGCCTATATATATATATGTCTCTCGGATTCAGACAAATAGCAAATTTTCGACTATTAAGGTCAACTGCGAGTGCCTACAATTGGAGGCGACCGTGGTCTATCCGTGTAATAGCTGATGGAAGGTTGGAGGCTTTTAAGACGTATATTATATGCGCGTGGCAGCTGACAGCTCATTAACACCTAGTCCCCAGTCAGCAGATGCGCCTTCGCTGTGCAGTCGTCTTTGTCTACGCAGCTGTAATTGTTGTTGTTGTTAACGATGGCGTCGAGGATGACGTTAGTGGTTAAATTCCTGGTCATTTGGCGTAGTGACCAGGCAGTGTGGCGTCACGCCTAGGTGCGCGTGCGGCCATGCCATCCACCCGCGCCCACCTCCGCCTTCGGCATTCTGGACTCTGTCTTGACACCGAGTCCAGGTGGGAAGTGGCAAAGAGAGAGTGCGGTAGATGCTGTGCAAGTCTGCTGCAACTCTAAACCACCTCACACGCATAGGCCAACGTGCCTGCTCTCACCTAGCCATGGGCATCGTCGGCAACGACGGTCTAACTGTTATCTGCGCAGGTAAGCCCTCACCGCTGCGCCCGTGATCTATCCGTGTATTAGTTGACGGGAGGTAGGAGGATTTTAAGACGCACACTCACCACTTCGTTCCTTCTCCGCGTCACCCTTTGAGGCGAATTGATCCGCACCTGCCGCCTGTTTTTTCCGCAAAAGGCGAGCGTATTGGGCTCGACTGGGCGCGTGCTTCGGTTGGTTTCGGAAGACTGTGTGGACGGTGGAAACAGAAAAGAAAAACAAATTATGCCAGAGGCATGCACTCTATAGGCAGTATGTTACTACAGACAAAGACAAGGGCGACTGGAATGGCCACTTCTGGCTTATTAGTCGTCGTCAGACCAGCATACCCAACCCCAAAGTGTGTAACACCTGAGGTTCGAACTCGCGACCTGTAAGTTAGAAGTCCACGTCTCTAACCGCCCGTCAACGAGCCCGTTTCCTTGTCGGTTTCGATCGGGAATATACAATGGTAGAGGGCGCTCACGATTCGTTCTCACTGAAGTCACTCGTTCAGTTGTGCCTTGAGGGCTCTCTCTCGAGTCCAACCAGCAGGCGCACAGCGGCGCATGATATAGGCATTATGTTGTTATTGACAAAGAGAAGTGAGACTGGATTATTAGCCGTCGTTAGCCAGTCATACGTCCTGCATTCTATACGTCCATACGTCCATGCATTCAATCTCCGAGCCAAAGTTTTTTTATTAATTGAGCTTTCCTATTACTAAGAAATTGTATATGATATGTGCAGAACAGTGGACCAATGTAGACATTTCAGCAGTGCCGGCTCCTTGGCGAATGTCGGCCTGCCGACGAGGGGCTGACCAATACTCCAGAGAACAACATCTTCTTTAACAACATACTGTAGGCATTTCTCCATAGTTTTCCCCTACTACGAGCATAAACTTAATCCTTACTGCCCCCAGTTTACGGCCACAGGCTTTGGCACTTCCACCCAGGGTTTCGGATACGCCTGACTGATGAAGACGGAAAAGTTGCCACAGAAAATGTAACGACGGGAGAGCATACGTCGAACAGCATGAGCTAGGGTTGTGGTTAATGTCGGAATCGGGGTTTGGAGGTTAGGAGGAGTGTTAGAAGAGTTAGTGCTGGCGCACCTTCTGCGCTTCGGTGTAAGGCCGCCGGCAGTAAGGGGGGAATTTATATCGGCATCCAATCCGCCGAAATTTGCACAACGGTAAAATTGTCTGAAGTTACGTCAACGCAGGAGGAGGGTCGTAACGTCCGTTTCGGGCTTACCAACCCTACACCAGCCATCGAAGACCGGCTTTTTGAACTCCGACTCTCTGGGCATACAGACTTAAAGCCAGACATCCCCTGTTAGGTTATTGACTCATTAAGTGCAATCCTGTCCTTCAGTTTCTGACGTGCCAGATTGCAAGAAATCGATAACCAAGACATCTGCTACCGGGTTACAGACCTACGTGGAGGCAAAACAAACGAACAAACCGCTACGTTAATATTACATACACGTAAAAATGAGACAGAGGTTAAGAATTTCTGGATGAATTGAAAAATTTAACCGAATACACCTTTTAAACTCTTGGGCTACCAGACCCGGCCGAGGGTCGTACGATTTGACAATTAGATCAAGGTATCCGCCCAACCAATAGCATTGTATTTAACCAATAAATTTATCTAGAGCCGGCCTTCTGACCAAGCAGGTTTCCCCCAAAGTCCGCCTGGAATTCGCACAGAATCCTTAATACTTATCAAAACACCTCGTAAGTCGATTTGCAGTGCAGTTACCTAGTGTAATTTAGATTATTTGCTCAAAAAACGCCCCTTGGTTGTCAGTGTAATGCATGAATTGGCGAATTCCTTACGTTGTGGTAGATTCGGTGAAAAATTCGGTCAAGATCTCATAGCTTAGGAGGTCGGAGCACTGTTTGCGTAAAAGCCTGTCACGGCGTTGCATCCGGTCGAGGCGGCAGACTTTTTGATAAGTGGATACTCACTTTAAAACCGACAATGACAGCATACATATGCAGGTATTGATTAAGGCGTGTTTTAATCTGTCGAATTAAAGGTGTCTCAAACTAGGCGAAGCTGACATCGCCATCAATTTCCTTGATAGCATCAACAGCGCACGCGGTGTATCTTGCCTCGAATACTTGAACTGTAAGCCTATGCCATGCCAGGATCAACAAGACAAGACCCTCGCAGTCTGATATTTGTTTACAGTTCTTTGACACTTTGTGCCCTGCCGCTGGATGTGCTTACGCTCCCGTTGAATAAAAAGGTCGTGGGCATGGCTGCCCTGTCCTCCTTGTCGTCTTTCTGACCCGCTGTGGTGCTGATGTTGTTGGTCCAGCGTTTGTTGTGGACTAAGGAGTGCGGTAGTACGCCTAGGTGCAGGTGCGTCTGTGCCAGTCACCTTCGCCCTCTCCCATCTCCGGTCTTCTTGACTGTGTCTTAACACCAGGCCCAGATGAGAGGAAGAGGAGGAGGAGGAGGAGGAGGAGGAGGAGGAGAGAGCGTGGTAGATGCCGTGCAAGTCCACTTTCTATAAAATAACTCAGGCGCAAGACACATTTTGATTTTTGAAGGAATAAAGGCCTCCTAAGTTAGGCAGAACTGATAGACGTTATCAACATCCTCGGGTCTATCCTATCTCCGAGGTTGTGCATGTACTTGTACTTAATCCGCCTCACACGCAATACAGGTTCCTGCGTCGAAAGGAAGGGCAAATTCTGCTGTTTTGTGATGTGAACTTACATATGAGGATGAGCAGGAGATCGACCGTGATGATGATTGCTCCACCATAGAGGAGGTACTGGAAGCCGCGTTTAAAGTCTGCAAACATGCCCTCCGCCTGCTGGGTGGTGTTACTTGTAGCATAGGATTCGATGGACGGTACAACGAGAGGCGGAATACCGAAGCCCAGAGCCACTCCAACCTGGGAGGAGAAAAGGGCGGGAGTCATTTTATTTCTGTGTTTCCACATCCACTCGCCCCTCGCCTCTTCCACGTCAAATATAGATGAAGGGGCAATCAATGAAAAACAGGCCTGCGCGCAGTGGGGGTAAGACCTAACTGGTTCGCCCACACGTGCTAAGGAACGTTCCAAATGACCAGTCAAATAAAGTAGAAAAGATGAATGGAGGTTCAGTTTTCACAAAAAGCAAAAAACGTCAATGTTATTCATTCACCATGAACATATTCGCCTTCTTTAAAGAAATTCAAGTAATATGTGGTTTGGCAGCCCCATCCGATTGACACAATACTGTTGAGGTTGGGGTTAAGGGTCAGGGTAAGGGTTAGATGTTAGGGCAACCATTTCTCAACCAGTTGAAGTACAACCGCGCATTTCCAATAGCTTTTCTTTTGCATACAAGTACTTGACCTCCTCGTCTGTGCGCTTCCTGGCCCCACCTGTAAAAATCCCCTTCTGCCACCGGTCCCGTGTTGGAGGTGAGGGGGGTTCTTTTACTTCAGGTGGGGCTACATAACCACATCCGACCGAAATTCTTCAACACCTGTACCTAACTTGGTCCTTAAGGGTCGAGAAGAATTCTCAGCTAATTACTTACAACATGCCTGAGCATAGCACTGAAAACAAGGTATACATGAGGTTGAAGGGGAATTCTCCACTGATGATGGGGATGACTTTCACCGGCATACAGGACGATGGTCTGAGGTGCTGCTTGTCTTGAGATTCATGCACGGTTTCTTGCAGACAGCCGTTTGCTGTAATGACTTCAGTGAGTGACAGATCTCATGTTTGCCGAAATTCTGAAATACGTTTTCGATTTGGAAGCATTACTTAGGTGGGGCTGTAATATTGGTTATCGTGCGGCATAATCTAGTAATATTTCGCCTTCTGCAGAATGCACGCTCGGTAAAAAAATGACTACTTAAGTAGCACGCAACTTTCGCGCTGATTTTCGATGTTCATTTAAAATTAAAATATATTTACAGAAAACATGCATAAAAATATGCCGTACCTGTCTGCTTGACAATGCTCTTTATGAAATGCATTACATAGTCCGCCCTCATTGCAAAATTTCATGAACTCTAACTATTATCTTCTTAAAGGGATAGAGAAATAAATGATTTCCCTTACGCCGGAAGCATGCGCCTTGTAGACTGAAATCGCTGAATGCTAATGCGACGGCTGATACAGCTCAAAATTATTCGGGAATTGGAAAACTTTTCCAAAACCTAAATATTCCCAGTCTTCAAACATCAAATGTAAAGCCGACGTGATTTACCACCAAACAAGAATAAGAAAGCATATTTTTATGCATGTTTTATAAAATATATTGGAATTTATATGACCATCGGAAATCAGTGCGAAAAATGCATGCCACATAAGTAGACATTTTTTACCGAGTGTGGATTCTGCAGGAGATCGAAAAGAAATGCATTCAAAAGCCGACATCCTGCCGAATCCGAAAGAGTACTAGATTATTCCGCACGATAATCACTATTACAACCCCACATAAATAATCCTTCAAAATTGAATACGTATTTCAGAATTTCGACCAACATATCATGAGTTCGGTCACTCACTGTAGCTGACAACGCAAATAGGCGATATTATACGTCAAGTGCTGAAACCAGAGCCAGCAAAAGTAAAATGCGATAAATATCACACTGTTTGAAGTTTTTGAAGTGTTTTTTCAAGAAACACTTTTCTATCTGCCAACAACCACTTTGAAAAAAAAATTCATTTCTGACAAATCTCCGCATTAAGGAAATTTCAGGCGTTAAACCATGCAATACAGCTGACAGAAGACTGTGTGAGCACAAATGTCCTTTAGTCAGTCTTGCGCAACAAACAAGAGTGCAGCTATCCAGTTAGCTTCGCCTTAATTTAACAAAAGGGACGTCAGACTTGGATCTCTTATTTGCCAGGAAGATAAGGCAAGCCGGTTTGCGGAAATAAACTCCTCGTGCCTGTTGACAAAATATTTGAAAAAGTCCTAAAGTTTTGCAGGGAAACAACCTGGCATTTGCCACGGGTCGGCAGTAGGCGTGCTAGGCCAACACGGAAACTGAACCGGATTCTGACATTCGGGGTACGGGGGCAGCCCCGGATGTAGGCTCGCGCTGCGCACATTGGGATCCCAATAGCCTCCACCCCCCCCCCACTTTTGTTGTTGAAAACCTTAGTCGTGTTTTTGTTATGTATCAGAGAGTGTCATGTTACGCCTACCTGCGGGTTCACGCCATGCCAGACATCTGTGCCCTCTCGAACCTCCAGTTATTTTGGCACCGGGCTCAGGTGGGAGAAGAGGAGAGATTGCGGTAGATGCATCGCAAGTTTACTATGAAAGAAATCACCCGCAAGTCTCCGTGCCCGGTCTCATCCTGCTGTGGAGCACACGGTGGGCACCGTCGGTCACGACGTTCGAACGGGCGAGCAATCACGATGTCCTTGAATTTCCTCATGATGACTACGTAGCCTGAAACCACGGTGTCTACAAAGACTCAAAACCTTTTGTTCGCATTC